TTCCTTTTTAAATTATTTTTCAGGCTCTACCAAATGTAGAATCTATATATTCCTAGGTTTTCGTTCTTTAAGTGTTCGACAAGATAATGAAGATGATGCCTAATTTCCGACTCCAGAGGAATTAGCTTCGTTTCCTCCGATCGTCAGGTGAACTTGACCGTTCATCATTTAGATTGCCACAGGAAAGCGCATGCAGATCAGACCACTTTTCACCGTTTGTATTACCACTTAACAGTTTGTCTTGTGACGTAAAATGTCCCTGTTGTATCACTGACAGGTTGCCTTCGAAAATGGTGCAACATGTATAGTAGATAGATTTTATTAATTCCCTAACCCCTTAGCCTAACAATGTGGTATTTGTTGCCGGCTGAAATAATAATTGGTCAATATTACCGTTTGTTAAGGTATCGGGTACGATGACAGGGGGATTTAATTGGGTTTAACTCACATGTTTTGACGATTAACTTCCTGACTGAATACTTACAAAGAAAGTTAATCCAACAGACGGCGGTAGGTTTGTTCTGGTGGCCACTTATAATGTTTCCTGGCCTGCATGTCGTCGAGTGTCTGTGGGGTATAGTGGGTTTTAAGGGTTCACACGTTTTACGATCGTTAGAACTTCTAAATTTATTTTTTAAACTTCCACCAGTGGCCTACTTAACTCCTCTTTTACAGAAACCTATGGAGTGCGCTGCACGCGTGCAAGGTAATGCGTCTTCTGGCTGGCATATCCCATACAACTCCTCTGAAAAACGGCACTCTTATGCTGCTATTCATGCTTGGCTCTGCTTGCTGCCGCCTGCATCTTCCCATCGAACTGCCTATGAATAGTCTTTTCTTCGTTTTTTAATTAAAAGTATACAGATTTTTTTCACAAATGATTTCATATTGGTCTTCCAATTTCGCCGTTAGAACCTAGTGTGCGTGTACATAGACTTTCTTCTTAGCCAAACCAAAGGCAAGTAGGGTTTCACTATTAATTCCCCTGAGTTTTGCACTTTTAGTGAGGGTGAATGTTGAGTACAGAAGTTTTAAAGTGTTACTTTGCATAGGGAGCTCACTCGTATACTTTTTTTAAGAAAATGATGTCAGTGATTTGTCCATTTTTTCAATATCTAAAAAATGCGTAAACCAACCATGTATGTCACTTTAAATTAAGAATCAACATGTTTTGCTACCCCCGCGTACTAGGAGTAAACGCATGTTTTAAGTTAAAAAAATTTTCTTCCGTGGCTTACCCTTTTCAGTCTGTTCCCAGTGTCATGAATAAAGCGCGGTAAAAAAAAACTACTGGAAGTTGTCAGTCTTGTTGTGCCGTTCTTAGTTTGTTGAGTTCAGATACTTCGTTATTCTGACTTAAATAGTTGTGATAAGCTGTGATTCTGTCCGAAAAAAGTGTCTCACTGTCATAGACGAACTAATAATTTAAACGTTCCCAGTACTGTCTCGGTTTTGTTCATGTAGTTTTACTCACTCTGAATGCCAGTTTGTGCAGGTAATCAGATTCCTTCCTTCCGAAATACATTTTGTATTAACCCGTCCATCTTATCCGGTGGCGTCCTTAATTCATTTCGTGCGCTCTCGTCATGCTTCGGTCAGACGACGTATTGCGCCCGAGTTCTCTAATGCCGACAGGCTCGCATTAATTTCGCGTGACAGTCTTTTGAGGAGGTTGATTTCATATGGGACATAAAACTGATGATCCTCCAGTAACTTGTTTTCGCTAACACGACGGTAGAATGCCCCTTTTCGGTGGGCACAAATAATATGTCTCGGTCGGCCTTGACTGCTCTTAATGCATCGCTTTCAACTTTGGGGAGTATTTTGCGCGGTTGGCGAGCTATAATAAGGGACGGTAACCCGTGTTGGATAAAGTTCTTCGTCTACTCTGTCGCCTCCGCCTGATTAATCACCAACTCCACAGCTGCACTCATGTTAGCAGGTTTGGCATCAGCCGTGTTGGATGAGGCTTCGTGCTTTAAAACCTGTATTTGCTCCTCCTTCAGCTTTTTCAACGATAGGTTGTTTACCAGTATGCCTTTTATGGATGACGTTGGATTATGCAGTTCGCGAAATTTGTTCTCCTGTGCTGCTTCGCGTATCGCTTTCTTTTCGCGGGCTCGTTCAGCCACTCTCTGCTGAAGCAGTTTTGGGCTGCCTTCGCCCACGAAATGACAGCATCTGGTCTCCTCTTGGTTATTTCCCTGACAGTATTTACGCAGCCGTGTGTGGCAGTCTTGAAAGAGCACACGGATAATACTTCTTCCATATTTAAGCATTTCGGGTCTCGCTAGCCTCGTGTTCACTGGAGGGTTTTATGTAACACACTTCGGCAACACGTTATTGTAAAGACACCCGTGCATAGATTAAGGCCTCTCGAATGACATAAGTTTCCCTTCGTGTGCTTGTGTCGTAGTCCATTGTTGAATCAGGAGTCCCCGCCGGAATCCAAACTGGTAGTAGTTAGAAGACAGAGAAAATCCGAGACCTCAACCGACTTGAGCCAGATGTCCGGGGGGTGAGTTGGGTGCCTGGCTGGAAACTGCAGTCGAACAGATGCTGAAAGTCACGCAGAGAAACGCCGCAATCGGGACAGCAGTCGGTGTGGACGGGTAGAGCCGGTGTTGGTACTGGTGAAGGACCATTTAGTAGCCACTGCGCAGTTGAGCCAGAGTACAGCGAGTGACCCTCGGT